CGAGATGAAGGTGTTGAACGGTAGAGTACGAAAGACAGAACCGGAATGGACGACGCAGTGTTTAAGAGAAGGAGAACGCTCCATCCTCGACTACATAGTCGTAGAGAACGGGGGGAAGGAGACGGAAGTACGGGTATGCACAACGGATGTAGGCACTACAGACCATGCGTTGGTGTGGACAGCCCTACAACAGACGAGAGTCATACAGAGTAGGCGACGCAGGAAAATGTACAGATGGAGAATGGATAAGCTAGAAGTAGAAGGAACGAGGGTAGAGTTTCAAGAAGCGATGGCTACTGACGACAAGAAACTCTCGGAGTTGATAGAGGCAATGGGCACACCGAAGTATGCCAAAGGTCGGGACCAGGCCGGATCTAGAATCATAGAAGGGTGGGAAAAGCTGGTAAACACAACGACAAGTAGAGTTCTCGGTAGAAAGTTGATAGTTTGTAAGAGAGCAGTGAAGTGGTGGGACGAAGAAATCAAGCAAGCAATTCGAGTACGTAGAGAGTCACACGCAAAATATGCCGCAGGGAAAACCGATGCAGGATGGAAGGAGTATGTTGAAAATAGAAAGTGGGTGAAGGAGTTGGTGGTGAAGAAGAAAGCGTTGTGGGAGGAAGTAGTCCAAAAGACTAACGAAGATTTTGAGGGGAGTATGAAGCAAATGTGGGTAGGAATCCAAGGGATAGTGGGCAAGAAAAAGAGGGGGAGACACGGGAATAGCGACACTACGATCTGCCGAGGGTAACATGGTAAGCAGTTAGTTCTAAAGGAAAGCGGGAAGTACTAGTAGAGCACTACCTACCGCAAACTTGGGACACCCACCACCAACAACAACTTCGACTCGGAGCTTGAGAAGGAAATCAACTCGTGGGCAGAGGAAAACGTTGAAAGATCTCGGGGGGAATGTAGTGTAGGCGGGTTGCAGGGAGAGTTCACACGAGAAGAGGTAGAGGACTGTGTAGCGAAACTCAAGAATAGAATAGCGGAGGGGCTGATGGAATTGTGAATGAGCTTTTGAAACAGGGCGGGGGGGGGGATGATTAACATGTTGGTCCGGATATTCAACTGGATATGGAAACACGAGTACGCGCCTAAGAGATGGAGAGAAGGAGTAGTCGTGAACCTGTTCAAAAAACTGAACCGGGGAATTATAGAGGGATAACCTTGCTGAGCACAGGGGGGAAACTCTTTGGCAAGATGATAAACAACAGAATGGGAGACATGTTGGAGGGGAAACAAAAGATCAGCGAAGGACAAGCTGGA